CACACACACACACACTCTCTCAAAAGAATCCACGGAATCAAATAGCATCAGAGTGAGTGTCTAAGTCTGATTAGCTCCAGGGCACAGAGGAGAACACCAACTTGTGAGTGGGTATCACACACATTAAAGTGCTCATCAAGTGCTCTTGGAATGTGGAATTTGTATCCACATCTGAAATCACATAGCTGATGTAAATGGCAGGCATACACACAATCTGACTTCATGTCACATCCATTTTTTCTCACAAACAAAATCCTTTGAGGTGAGCAGACAAATGTGTGTATATATACAGCAGCATGTGCATTCACTGGAGCAACAGTGCCACCTGGTGGATAAGACCTGGGCAATCTCTTGGCACAGGACTTCACTCATTGGAATTAGATCACTTTAACTGCAAAGAAAAACAACTAGGTTTGAAAATACAAATGAGCGAGTTTGATTTGATTTAACAGCTTTGCAGAAATTTCCAGACAAAGACATGCCTAGACTTCTACGGGATTCATTACCGTCTCAAAACTTCTTGGTAATATACTCTGGGATTTTGCTGTGATTTGTAATTTAAATCATTGTACAATCATGTATCCTCAACACTACAAAGAAATTAATAGATTTCACCAACTCGTGCTGTTTCTGTGTCTAGCACCTTTAACTTGGATTTCTTAAGCTTCGGACACACTACATGACATGAACCTAATCCCCCCCAGGAACCAATGAGCTAATTTCACTAGCTCAGAAAATGTTATGTTGTTTCTAGTAAATAGATTTTGGAGCACATGACTGTTGACTGTCCAGTTCCTCTTGAGGTTTTATCAGAGGACAATCCAATCTCCAAAGACGTTAGCAATGGTAACTCATTCTTTAGATCCTAGTATTTATTCCTGCCATGTCTTTGTTTGCACCTTGTTGGTGAGCATGTTCAAACCTTGTTTCATCTAATTGCTATCAGTCAACTCAAGTCCTTTGCAAAGACACTGTTCAGCTGCCCAGATGCTAGCTCAGTTAATCCACGATGATTCATAACACAGAACCGGTTTGAGCACAAACCGAGCTACAAGGGCAGGAGACAGTGAGGAAGAGTAAAGACGCAGACAGGTAGTACCAGGAGAAACACTCACCCACTGTCATGGACTCTGGCAGACCAGATGTTGGCAGCACACTGGAGAGCGGAGCAGACTGTGCTGGTGGACTGGACTCCATGCTGAAACACGTGAATAGAGAGGCATCAGGTACTTTAAATCTCTTTGAGCTTTTTTCCACAATTCATATCTGAAAAGGAAAGCTAAGGCTGCAGCACAGAAACACACTGACTAGTCTTGCCTGTTTAGTCCTGTGACTAAAACTAAATTGTAAATAATTCACAAAACAACACATCATTCCCACATGAAAGGAAAGCTTACTTGAACGTCAGCAGCGATGTGTCGCTCTCACAGTTTCCCACCGGTCCTGTCAACTCAGACTGAGCAGGAAATGCAGCTGTATCTTCCACAGAGTTCACTGAGGCAAAGTGGAAGCGAAAGTAAAAGGTACAGACTAACAGAGAAAGTACCGAAATTTCATCTGATAGACAACTGATCCCTGCGCTCAAGCCATAAGCAGCTGTTGTCAGCAGTAAACACAGTCTGTATGCAAAAACATATGTAAGGTACAATATTTACAGTGCGAGTAGAAAATGTAAACTGGGAATCAGTGCAGCAGTGTCGGCTGAAGGCAGTCAAGAAATATTACACTGATCTGGCACACAGTGCACCAGGAAGTGTTTTTATATGCTTCTATCTTCCTTGTTGCTGCTGGATTGTAACAAAGTCTGTGTTTTTTTGTTCCAGTGGCTTTAGGGACTACAGTACCTGGCTGAGGGTCTGTAGGGTTCAGAGGAATGAGGATGTCTGAGCTGCTGTGGTCGGTCATCCCCTTTAGAGGGCTCCATGTGGACACACTGGGCAGGCTGCCTACCACCACTCTGAAACAAGACAATTTTCATCTTAGTTGTGGTTTTTTCCCAGAGCAATAAGCAACTTTTTAGCCCTGTTGTGTCCCAACAGGTCAGTTGTGGACATTTGGGTTTAAAACCTCAACACATTTTACAGTCTGTTACCGAGAATTTAAGACAACTGTGCCTCCACTAATGCTTTTTGGGAAGTAACAACAAGAAGTGTAATGTTACTATGGATTCAGTGACTGTATTTGTTCACATTTTGTGAAATCAGCACCATTACAGTATGCAAAATGAGCAATTGTCAGTTATTTTGCAATGTACCCATGTACGTAAGTACAGATGACTACCATTGGATTACTTTGATACTGAAGAAAACTTTAAAACGTGATGATATTAAGTTATAAAGAGTCTGTATTTCTATGATTTCTAAGCAGATTTATGGAAGTTTATTCACAATGGACACTAGAGATAATGATATCCCCTAAAAGTGTACGTCAAGCAAGATTTTATTGAACTATGAAATAATGCACCTTGCACTTTATATTGGAAAATGAACCCTACATTAATGGTTCATCTTCCACTTATTTTTCTATAATGTTGGTTGATTGATTTTCTCCCTCTAAAGGCTGCAGCAACTCAACCAAACAAAGTGAGTGAAACACAAATATGAGCAATTTTTAATTATAACTGTAATGTTTTATGCACGAACAACCTACAAGGGCACTGTGCCCCAAGCCCACATTCATTTCTGTCAGAATAATTTTTAAAATGTGAAATATTTTTCTATTAGTTACGTTTTATAACTCGACATTCAACTGAAGTGATCTGACTTACTGATCAGAGCTGATCCTCTCCTCCTCCTGGGTTTGTGCCCTGGGTTTGTACATCTCCTCCTCTTCCTCCTCCTCCTCATTGTCTATATTCTTACTGTCAGGCAGAGGAGGTGTAGTGGCAGGTGGAGTACGAGAGGGATGGGGGGACCCCACCCAGCTAATTATGCCCGGCTCAGCCAGGCCGTTCTGGGCCGGCGACTCAGGGAAGACCGGCTCCAAAGGATCTATGCCTTCCTCCACGCTGTTCTGAGCAGGGGCAGTGTGGCTCTTCCTCATGGTGCCCATCTTCTGGGAGTCCTCTTCTCCCTCCTCCTCGTCCTCCGCCCCTCCATCCAGATCATCATCAAAGGAAATTATGTTGGTGATTTTCTTTTTCCTCCGGCGCTCTTTCCTCAGCCCTGAGTCTTTGTGGAAGAGATGAAAAAGAAGTGAACAAAAACCTCAATCTCAAGCTTAAATAAAGTGAAACTTTAATGAATTCAGTACTTTTCACCTGTCTAGACTATTCTCCTCCAAATGTTCACACAGGAAAGTTTGGTACTGATGACATCAGCATCTTAAGTTTATTTCAATTAGGCCTTTAAAAGTGCATTTATAATAGACAATCTGTGGTTCAACTCTTCTACCTGTGAATAATGCGAATGGCTCTTCTAACCTCGAGGAGCTGGCACACCAGCTTAGAATGTCATTTATATTCATTCCAGTTAAAATGTAAAAGCTTGTTCATCCCTCTGAGCAGAACATATGGAGAGAAAATGGTGTGAGTTTTCCCTGCTGGGATGAATCGGGGCAGAGAGCTAAATGAGGTCAAACAAGGCTGACATCCTGGAAGTTTATTCATTTCATGAGGGATTTCATCTCCGCTGCAGATGCCTTGTGTTGCATCCACTATATTTGTTCTACCAGTGCATTCATTATGCATGCTCAAACTGAGCCATATGTGATTGTGTTTGTCAAGGGGTGGACAAAATAACAGTGATATAGTCCAAAAGTAAATACCATGTATGCAAAGTTTGTTTTGAAGAAATGTTTGACTTTCGCTGCTTGTATATTAACTGCAAGAACTGCAAAATTATGTAATCTTTGAATGAATATAAAAGTTAAGCCACTAAATATGCATAAGAAAATATGAAAAAAAAAAGGACATTGCTCACAAAAAACAACAGTCTCAACAAACACAAACAACCATTTTTGTATTTCTCATGGCTATTGTATTGAATTGTGAATTATTTTGTACACCCCCATCCGTCATACTACTCCACACTCTCCTACCAGCAGAGGTGCTGCGTGGCAGGACAGGTAGCGGGTCTGAGGCTCCGTCCACTTTGGGAGTGAAGCCGGGCACCACAGCCGTGGCGGTGCTGATCTCTCGCAACAGGCTGCTGACCCCCTGAGTCGACTCTTTCCACAGACTGCCGATGCCCTGTGTGGACTCCTTGAGGAGGTCGGACACAGAGGGGCCTCCTCCTCGGGTCACCCCGCCATTCAGGTCACTGTTATCGATGTTGATGGCAAACAGGATGGAGTTCAGACCTGAAGAACGCAGCAGAAAGAGAGAGGCAAAACGTAATTTATTACAAATGAGTCTCGTTAAATCAGATGGAGCTTCTGAACTTCTGCAAACTGCTCTGTCAGCTATTCTGGGTACACAGTGAGCAACCCAGGATGAACTCAGGATATCTGCCTGTGTTTGAAAAGAGAGGGAAAGCTCTGGCATGAGATCAGTAGTATATATTCTTAATATTTTAGAGTTTGTGCTCATCTGAGTTGCACTCATCAATACTTCAACAGTAAGAGCACTGTCATTAACACTAATTCCCACCAAATCCAGACACGCTAAACAAGTAAAGTGCAAAGTCAGTTAAATAACTGCTTTTACAGCAGCTCCGTTTGTGTGAAGCATGTTTAAATTTCAATGAGACTAAAAATGAGGCTGTAATGCTCTTTACAAGACAGAAGATACAATTTTTGGATAGATGGATGGTTCTTAAGTCATTACCACTAGTGCGGCAAAAATACTGCTCGGCCTTGTTGGACATTTCAGGCTGTCAGGCTCAGCTGTATTTTATCAGACTTCCTGCTTAGCATATTAACATACCAAATGTTCACGTTATCTAATGTGACCATGATACCCTGTTATGTTTATTCTAAAGTTACATCACATGTACAGTAGCATGTTAACATGTATACCTATTGTCAGCTTCAGCTGTATTTTATTGCATAACATGCTGAACATTGGAAAAATACTAACTGCATGCATGTCAGAACACTAACATTATCATTTTGGCTTCCTATGTTAGCATAACATGCAACATTAACCCAGTACACTCCCTTGGAGTGGCATTTCAGACTACAGTAATGTTTACCATGCCACAATTAAGCACTAGCATGCCTAAACAGTTGACAAATCCACATCTCTACTACTTCTATATATCTGGTGTGCAGTATGTTTACCCTGCAATGACCTAACTCACCTGCAGCCATGGTGGGGAGCATACTTGCTCTCTCTTCGTCAAGAATAAAAGCCCAGTCTTCATAGTAAGTTCTAAAGAACAGAGAGGAGGTGAAGTAACATCTCTAATCAAGACAACAGAGAGCTGAGATACCAGCTGTACAGAGTATAACTGTACAGGTGAAGAGATTCAGTGTGTCAGTATAACTTGTGAAAAGAGCATGCAAGATCATACAAAATGGCAAAAATATAAAAACATTCTGTCATATGAAAATTCAAATATCATCATTATTGACTTCACTGAACTACAGTGAAACAAGTCATGGCGATTTCATCAAAAAATAAATCAAACATAAACCACACAAACACACACTTGACTAACCCCAGGCGTGGGCGGTCAGCCAGCAGTGTGTGCAGGTAGCGCTCCAGTGAGTGCTCATTGAGGGCGCAGCGCAGCCAGGCACGACCCCGCCCAAGCTCTGAGGAGATTTGACGTAGGGAGTAGAACCGCTGGAGCTCATGGCGGTTCAGATGCTCCTTCACATAGAACCAGAAAGTCAACTCTGGGGGGGAATGAAAAGAGAGAGGAAGAGGAGGAGAGAGGGAGAACAGACAAGGGAGACAGACAAGGGAGTAAAAAGTGACAAGACAAAGGAGAGGAAGGGAGGGAAAAATTGTGATGAGGTAAAGGAGAGGTGGGACGAAGAGGGAAAAAGAGGAAAAGAAGAGAATCACTTTTGTGAAAAACATCTTCTTGAGTTACACAATAAGTTCCAAAGGTCAGTGAAGCAGTGATAAAAACACTTCTTCACTCTCTTATTAATGAATATCCACACCTCCTTCACACAGATCCATCCTGACTTCCTACCTGTCACCTGCACACTTTTATTATTAACACAGGCAAAAAAGATTAAAAAAAAACTTCTGTGGTAATTAATAGGAATGAGTGTTATGCTACTCTTTTGCATATGATTAGCATATAACCTCAGAACAATGTGTTAAAAATGATGGCTGCTATTTCTGGCTTTGTCAGAGGGCTTGGCTTCATTAGGGAGCTCCAAATCCATGAGTTCAGTCACAATCCTTTCTTCTAATTGACTGTGAAATACAGGAAAACATCAGATATGCTAATGGTTATGACGTGGTAGCCATTACAGAAGTCATGCATTTCTCCTCCAACTGGAATTAATAGCCACATGGGTCTTAAATATGACACAGTAGAAACAATTTAGTCTAATGTGAAACTAATGTCTCTCAACCAGCGGAATGGTCTTTAGAAGCTCCGATGGCTGCAAATAAAACTGAATCTTGAGGATTGTCATACTTTTCATTTCCTTATAGAGATACCATAGAGCAATAATTCCCAATCAGGGGTACTTTTGCAAATCTGGAGTAGTGCAAATAATTTGATAAAATCTAAATTACAATTGGAGTTTAAAAAATATGTCCACAAATTGAGTCAAATATAAGACCTGAACACACATTTGCAGCAGTTCTGGCTAAGGCTTTGTTCACACTGCAGGCAAAAGTGGCCCAAATCAGATTTTTCTTTTTCTTTTCTCTTCTCTCACATCACAAATCACATGGAATCTGAACGTGTTAAATCTGATTCGGGATTTTTATATGTGGTCCTAAATCAGACACAGGCCTGATTTTTAATCAAAATTGTACACTTGCAGAGTAAACGTAGCCTATGAATGTATGAAAAATAGTCCGAAAACAAGCAGAGAAGCAAGTTAGCTAAAAAATAAAGTGGATGAATGGCTGCAAAAGATAGTTAAACATTTATTTTAATTAATTAATTAACATGAATGTATAATTGGTTAACAAAAAGCTGAAAGAAGCAGCAAAAAGTAATAGATAAACAGTTAAAATTGTTGTCTGACAGTAAAGAATAAACAGTTAAGACATAGCTTAGCACTCGTAATACTTACCTGTAGCTAATGGGCAAATTATTTAAAAAGCTAATGCTAATGGTTTAACAGTTTAAATACTTAGCTAAAAGTAATGGATAAGCAGTTACTGCACAACCGTACCACATACTGTAGATTGTCTATTTGCATTTTCCAACACTTCATTACAGCTACATATTAGTCAATATTTAAACCTATTTAAGATGTTTTTTATGGTTGCACCATTACATCAGCTGGAAACATCCCAGATATCTTCGCATTTTTGCACCAACCCCTTATTTAATTTCCCTGTAGTTCAGCATGCCATATGCTGTTTGGGATCTTGACTGGAATTTAAAATAAACTTCTGTGGATTTGAAAAATACTCAAGTGCACAAGTCGCATTTATAATAACAGTCCATCTCAGCAGTACTGTTTAGAGGTGTAAAGCCACAGCTGCCCACCACCGACTGAGACAAAGAGACAGAGGCTTAAAGACAGACAGGTGAGCACAGCAGAGAGAGTGAAACAGGGAAGCAGAGACCTTTAGGTCATTTCGAACTGTAAGCCCTATTTGTTGTCTTACCACCCGGTCTCACAGCCAGGCTGTGTGTGAGTATGTGCATGTGGTTGTCTTGCAGCTCAGAGCTACCCACTTTCAACCACCCCCAATGACTTCCGAAATAACAAGCCGAGCTATCCTGTAAGGTTAGCAATCGCAGGTCTCCTCTTCCCGAGGTAAAGGCTGGAGGCTAAAGTCAAGTTGTTATCCTGACTTTTAACTTTAGACCTGAGTTTAACAGTCAAGTATTGTACCTGCTTCTGTCTTGCTGCTAAAGCCCGCAGCCTGCTTGAGAGCAGCGGCGGTGAGAGCCAGGCCTCGGTTCTTCCTCAGGCCATGCTGCAGCACCGCTTCAAACTGGGCGCACAGACAGATCACCCTGCAGAGACAAAGACTGCTGTTAGGACAGAAAGGGGATTTAGGAGTACATACACCCCTTGAATGTTGACTTGCCACTTGAAATTATGGGTGCACTTCAAAATCAGCTACAAGTACCGTTATGTACGATATTAGAGAAATAAGGAGGATGTCGGTTTTTATTGCTTTGAAACATGAAGAGATCCTCTATCAACAAAGCAAAACTGGTAATTAATGTTCAAAAACTGCAGCTACAACCTCAAGATGAGATTTCAGCAGCACAGGATATGAAATTTTTATCAAATATTTCTCTCTGAGAGGATTAAGCTCTGATGAAACAAGGTTGGTAAATAATGCTTCGTACATTTTTTCCTTTTCTGAACATCATCATCGTCATAAAACTGAACTTTCGCATTGCTTGGATATAACAGAAAATATTGCAAAAAAACAATGTTATTTATTTCATTTTAAGATATTTTTTGTCGGGAAGAAATCAACCCTTAAGCTGGGCCTATTGAAAGATCGCTGTACAGAACAGGCTGAAGGTGAGACTGAACTACATGTGCAAACCAAACAACCTCTTGGGTGCAAAACAAACACACACATATAACTGAAGAATGTCTTACAGGCAGCTTCGCTTACCTGCTGTCTGAGTCTGTGGCAATCTCCTTTCTTCCTCCAAAACGGATTTGGCACTGGAAAGATATGAAGGGAATGATAATAGCCGCCTGTGAAATACTTCAAACCCTTCTGCAGCACACAATGAGCACATTTCTAAGATTTCAAGGGCCTAAAATCACTGCAGCAGCCACAGAACGGACTGATGAACAGTGCTGATGGTGCTCTTATATGGTATATTTTAATATTATGAGACACCCAGCAGCCTATAACTGGGCCAGTAGCTGGAAAGTTTGGAGTGCTGATTATGACCAGATAAAGTGAACTGGAAATAATGGATTAAAAACAGAACTGGGGGTATTGATGTCACAGTCACAATATAAAAGCAGGGAACGTGTTTACACAACTCAAAGCCTGAGCATTAGCATCTGAATAAATGCTCCATAATGGTTACTTGCCAAATAATGTGCATTAGTGTTCAGCAGAGACGCGCATCATGGGAAGCTTCTATAAGAATATTGTTCCTTGAAACCAGTCTAGACTAGCCCTGATACTGTACATGCAGTTCCCACTTTCTTTTTCCCTCTTTGTATGGGAAAGCACATCACATCTAACCACATCTGCCAATGTTACATTTCCTCGCTCCGTCGCAGAACCACTAACAAATCTGACAGAATATAAAATAACACTCAAATTCTCCTTAAAAACTCTTTAATTTGCCATAGCTTGACCTAATATACATCCAACATATCCAAAAATGTATAAATAGTGCTCAGTTTTACTTCCTCTGGTGTGTTTTGTTATGCAGAAGATAAAGGAACTAAAAGATATTCAGACACCACAAACTTTGGCCAATGCTTAATAATATTCTTGTTCTAGTGAAAGGCATTAATACGAACACTACACACTAACACACTGCGTTAGAATCTGGAACTATTTTACGTCTTTCATTTGAAAACAATGTCAATATATTTACGTCAGACATTCAGATCCAGGTCACTCATCAAACAAATGCACATTTCTTTATATAAATGCCAATCTTCCCTTTAGAAATGAACGTACAGAGGTCAGGTGTCTCACCTGTTTGACAGCATCCAGCAGCCTCTCCAGGAGGTGCTGCCTCTTGGTATCACTCTGCTGAGTGCCTGCAGAGGAGAACACACAGAGGAAATTACCCAAATTCAGTTTGATGACAGATTAAGAAAATAACTGTACTATACGGACTCGGGTTTCAGAAGCCTCGTTCCTGTGTTAACCACGCCGTGCCCGAGAGGACAGGAGGGAAATGAGCTGCTGAAGGAAGTCATGGGCCATCGCAGTCGGCGTAAAAACTGTTTGTATGTTTTGGTTATTACTACACCATGAAACACCCTCCACTCCACAGGCCACCTTTAACATCCACTTATTGTGTTCTTGCTCAAAACTATTTCAGTAACTGATTTAACTGAATCTCGTTTTTTTTTTTAGGGTGACTATGTGACATCTGTACGGAGCCTACAGACTACAGACGCTAATTCTATTTACAGAGCATGTATGGTGCTTTTTATAACATTGTTTATTGATGTTTACTGTTCCTGTTAAATCAGCCAATATATAAATAAATGTAGTTTCTATAGTATGTAATATTCCTGCAATATTCCTTTCTATTTTTGTGATAATATTTTGTATAGTACCCTTCTATAAGAGTAAATCACACAGTTAGATAGAAAATGAATCCGCAACAATTACAACTACGTTTGAGTCTCTTTTTTTAAGCAAAATGGGAAGATTTGTTGCCTTTCTGTTTTGTATTGTTGTAAATTGAATATCTTTAATTATGACTCTATGGGTTAGATAAAACAAGACATCTAAAGGAATCACTTTCGGCTCTGAGGAAACAGCGCTGTTGTGATTTTTCAGAATTATCTGAGATTGTATTGACTCAACAAAGTAAATAACTGCTAAATCCAAAAGTAATCAGAAGATTAACTGACAATGAAAATCCTTAGCGGGAGCCCTAATTTAGATTCATGGTGCAAATCTTGGTAATGACAACGACACAATCGGGTATTTTAATGTTAACTGTTGCAGCATATCTCTCGTTCTGTTATTATAAACATGAACCAAGAGTTTTTCCCACTTCTACCACCATCCTGTAAAAGCTGCCAATCCACTGGACCATCTCTGGGGGCCGAGTGCTCTCCAAACGAACAGCTGCAGAGGGATGAAAGCCGGAGCCGTCCCTGTCCTCCACCCACAAGTTTGCACCAGATTCAGAGCAGCAGCTTGTCATAAACTCCACTACTAAAACCTCAATGCCAATCACACCCTCATAAACTTCTCATGCGAACCACTGCTACTTCAGAACAAACTGCCAGCTGTTTTCCAGGTAGTTCACAGCCAACTGAACAGTGTGTGGTTAGTCATGCATTGGGCAGATTCATATAAAGAGCATTCATACACGTTATCCTTAAAAGTGCATTGGGCATCTATCCTTTAATTCACCAAGGTGTGAAAGTCCAGAGAGGCCATTTGCTGGATATGAACAGTGTGGAAGTGGGAGCAGTGCAGGTCACAAGTCAGCAGAAATCCCTAACTAACTGTCTGAGCACAGAGGCTACTTACAGATGACTGAATCCCCTCTGGCATGCATGATTAGACATTTTATGCTTCTTTATGCCTGAGTGAGAAACAGCAGACAATGAAACAACACAACTCACCGTTCATTCTGACAGCCAAACCCCGTTAGCACTGACATCCAAGCTGAACAGTCCAACACGGATACGGTTCATCCCTTTCTGTGGCTTCTGAGAGCAGTGGCTAGCTGTGCGCCGGGCCCATGCTGCCTCTGTGGCCGAGCTGGACCCACCCAACCGCGGCGTGAGGACTGGTGTTTACACGGTGAACAGCGAGGCCTGCCGGGGAGCCGCTGGGGCTGCGAGTCCACCACAGACTGACATGTAAGACCTGTACAAAGCCGAGTAAGCAGATAAACTGCACCAAACACACGCCGGAGTGTAATTTCAGAGCCAGCAAGCCGCCGGATAAAGTGTGCTGTAGCGGAGGAGTGAAGTGTTTTCAGTTTGGAGCCTGTGGCACTGCGAAACCGGGAAACGGACTACTGCCTGAGCAGTGTCAAGGTCACATGACACAACACGCCGCTGTCATATGACACGACAGCGCTACTGGGAGTTGTAGTGTTTGGTAGAAGTGTTGCGGAACTACAAAAGTATCATTTTCATCTTCAGGTGGAGAAAAACCTATTTAAGTCTTAAATGTTTGTGTAATTCCTGGAATGTGTGCAGCATTAACACATCTTAGTACAGACGAGTGTTGCATTCACTTATATAGAGAAACATACAAATATATTTCTTATTTTTTCTGAATTATCCTAGACTTCAAATAAAAGTTTTTTTGTGTACAGGCCCACCAATATTTTACCTGTTCTACGACTCAAACCCAATTCATAAATTGTATTACTTTTATTTGAAAGTATTTTAAAGCAAATGTACGGTACTAACTGTTTCTCTGTTATTTAAAATAGTATTAAAATTGGTAATGGTGTATAATGACTTTTTAGTACTCGAAACAGATATTTTAGGACTGGGGACTTGACTCAGGACTCAGGCCAAAGCTAAAGACCTCTTTCATTTCAGCAGCATCTTAACAATATTTAGCAGATTTACACTTAGGAGTAAAAAGTGTTCGCTGTTCTCTTCTTGTTCACTGCTCCCTCACTGGAGTTATTTTACCCTAATAGTTTACTGCTGTCCTGAAGGACAGTTTGTGTCCACTGCAAAGAAACAGGGACAAGATGGAAGAGTACAGAGTACTGGTGTAATGCAGCTCATAGTTTTCACACTCTTCATTGTTAATCTGCCAATCGACAGAGAACAGTTATGAAATAACTAAACCTTATCAGATGGAAATCCCTCAGATTACCAAATACGGGGCTGATGTCGATCAATTTGGCTTCCGCTGCCGTACCACTAAACTTAAAGACAGCTTACTAAATGAACTGATCAAGAGGGCCGGTGATGTCGT